TATATATATATTATTTATTAATTTCTATCTTTATATAATTATTGAATAAAATAATATATTATGAATTATTATAAATTTACTAACATATATAAAATATATTAACTTTTATTACTATTATTCATGAAATATATTTTAAAGTACCTAATTAAAAAAAGGAGTATAAGTAGTAATATAATACTTAATGTTTCTGCCTAATATAAAAATTAATACTTAATAAATTATCAAAAATTATAATAAATTGTATTAATATGAATAATTTATTTCTCTAACGAATTACAATAAAATCTACTAATATTTTTTTACATCATATATATAATTATTGTCAACTACAAGTTTTCCTCAACAACTAATTATGTTTGTGTATGTTACCTTCCCACCTTCGCTGATTAAATTAGAATTATTCATGACTTTTATATATATTAGGAAAAAAAAGGTACTTTTAATTTAAAAAAAAAATAATGAGTGATTATTTAAAGAGAGATGTTTAAAAAGTGAATATCTTTAAAGTAAAAAATATAGAAAATTAATAAATAAAAGATAATAAAAAAGAAACCACTTTAGAGATAATTATAAGAGTAAATTAGTCCAAAATTTATATATAACAACCCACTCACGCACAATTAATTAGATTTGATCAATCACTTCACGTTTTGTAAAATAACAAAATCACTTTAAGTTTAATTTGCATTTACTACTTTTTTTTAATTAAATACGGGGCTAAAAAGGAGCCAAAAGGAAACTAAAAATCACGAAGGTAAATTACATTTGAAGAGTCAGCAAATAAAAGAAAATGCATCCAAGAAGGGGAGAATTAAAAAATAAAATGTCTTCTAAGAAAATGCAAATTTTATTAATATACATTTATGTATATTATCAAGATAAATTTTCAATTCTAATTGAAAAATAATACCAACCAACACCTAATAAACTAAATTTTATCATAGCTTTAATATACAATACCCACTTAATTATTTTAGAATTATAAAATTTCAATATAAAATACAGAGAATTTAAATTTTATCTAAATAAAATATTTTAAAATAAAAGAAATCCAATTGAAACAATTAAATTTCCATGCTTTTCAAATTCTCCATGCATGTTTGAGATTTGAGAATCCATACAGGTTCCCTTCATTATGCCAATTGAGATTTATCAATATAGACTGAGGCTGTTATTTGGCTCAGCTTATTTCGTAGATTCCCATTAGCTATAGCCCCAAAAAGCCAACCCAAAACTGACAAACAACAATATCAATGTTTTAATCAAACTTTCCCAATTCCCAATTTTCAGTTCATAGAAATCAATTGCATAACCTTAAATAATGGAAAATTCAATTGTTACATTTATTGAAAAACAATGAAATAAATGATCAATAGGGGAATAACTGTATGCACACTCCTTTTAACTTGAACACAATACAAGAGCAAAGAAATTGGCAAAGCTACAGGCAGTAAAGTAACGATCTTTTGTTCTATTTTTGCACATCTCCTAAGATTCACTGTAAACAAGTTTGTTGAACTAATAATACTAAAAAAAGATGTTTGATTTAGGATTTGGAAGCAATTGGTGCCACTTTAGGCACATGAACAGGAAACTGATGAATTTCATCCGTCCAAGGATTCTTCTCCTGGGCTGGATTGATGGTCCTCATGGCCCTCCACACAGCACTGTTGCACTTAAACCCTGATCCAAATGCAATCTGCCAAGTCCTGTCACCCTTCTTGATCCTCCCCTTGGATTCAGTGTAGGCCAATTCATACCACAAGGAGCTGCTAGAAGTGTTCCCAAACCTGTTTAGTGTCATCCTTGAGGGCTCCATGTGCCACTCACTTAGGTCAAGATTCTTCTCCAACTCATCCAACACTGCCCTCCCTCCTGCATGGATGCAAAAGTGCTCAAAGGCCAACTTGAAGTCTGGGATGTATGGCTTTATATTCATCTTGAACACTTTCCTTGCAACCAAGGTGGCAAAGAAAAGAAGCTGCTCTGACATGGGGAGGACTAATGGGCCAAGTGTGGTGATGTTGGTCTTCAGAGCCTCTCCTGCCACAGCCATCAAGTCCTTTGAGAGTGCCACACCAATTCTCTTTGTCTCATCTTCTTCTTGGAAGACACACCCATAGGACCTGTCATCTGCTCCCTTGTGAGTCCTCACTGTGTGGACTAGCTGGTATTTGGCGCGGCCCCGGTCGCTGGAGCGGTTTGAGAGAAGGATCGCCGCTCCTCCCATTCTGAAGAGACAATTTGAGACTAGCATTGATCGGTTGTTGCCAAAGTACCAGTTCAGAGTGATGTTCTCCATGCTCACTACCAAGGCATATGAGTTGGGATGGACCTGCATGTATATTTACCATCACCAATTGTAAGTAGTTTAGCTTTTTAATTAGCTGTCAATTAATGTAACAATCATAACGAATTGGTTTGAGTAGAATTAGACTTAGTATTCTGAAACAAGGTTTATGGTTTGGAAAAAATATAGTTGACATCTTCTTATAGATGGTCAATCAAATGTTCTAAAGATTATTAATTATTGATAAAGTTATTAAATACTTCGCATTCAGAATATAAAAAACCTTTGAAATTATAGATTATGAATGAGTATGTTTATGTATATAAATGGATTAGATGACATGTTAAGGTCATGTGGTTAATTGATTTGAAGAACTTGGTTTCCCTAACACGACAACTTGTGAGACAGAGACATAAAAGAAAAGGGTCCATATCTTTGGGAGGGTATTGATTAGGTTGGCTAACGTGACAAAACTTTCAACAACCTGTACGGTAAATACGGTGCTGTTATTCACACGGCATCATAAAGAGTCTCACTGTAATTAAAGAGATGCAGTAAAATTCGGCACCATTCCCCGTGGGTGCCAAACTGCCAATGGCATGCACCACAGAAGCAAAGTAATAATAAATCATATACTAGCTAGATACTGTAGCTAGCTGGGAAGTGAAATCAATTCTTTAATTGAAAGTTGGTATATCTTATACGCGTGTCATTTGATTTAACCACGTGTGTCTATATATAGAAAAAATCTCAATATTTATGGTTAAATTGAAAGTTGTTTTTAATTTAGACCATATCTACAAAATCAGACAGATATAAAATATTGTCAAGGGAAAACTCTTGTCATTATGAAAACTGAAAACTATAATAACAAATCATACAGAACATATATTTCAGCTGTCAAAAGTATCATGTGATAATTCTTTAACCATTATGAACTATTAGTATCGGCGTAGATAAACAGGTACGAAAAGTTAAGTTTGATCTTCGTTATTATTATCAATAAAAAATTTTATTAATAAAAAAATTCAAATATTATGGTGTCATGTGAAATTTAAGCATAAAAGATAGAGAAGAAAAATTATGCACGGTGAGTGTAGAATAATTTTACATCGATATTTAATCAGAAACATCATGAACAAAAAATTTGTTAATTTTTACGATAATTATTTTAAAAGTGATATAATGATTGAAGAATAGATGAACATTAAACTTAAAAAGATATATGATGAAGTTAGGATCCTTAATTAATTATAACTTGTTGTTAGCATATACAGTAGGTGCATAGTTTTGAATTTTGAAAGAGACATGGAAATAAACCTGGAGGAGCTGCTTGGCAAGGTCAATAGAGATGAGTCCAGCACTGCAACCCATGCCACCAAGATTATAACTGAGGATATTCCCCCTGAGTTTGTAGTGATTAACAACCATGGCAGAGAGTGAAGGTGTGGGGTTGAAGAGGCTGCAATTGACGACCAAGATCCCAATATCCTTGGCCTTGACCCGAGTCTTTGCGAGAAGCTGATCAATGGCTCCAAACATGACTTCCTCAGCCTCTTTTCTAGCTGCAGCCATGCATGGCTTTGGTGGCAAACTCAGGATTGCAGGAGGAAGATAAGTATTCTGCCCCAAACCAGACCTCTCAAGAACCCTCTTCTGAAAGGAGAGATTCTCCTCAGAGAATGACCCTGTGAGACCAGACTTCTCTATGAAAACCTCCCTTGTGACTTTGCAATCATCGTGTGGCTTGTAGCATGCAAAGTCCACCAAGTACACACCCCTTGGACGTGTCATGAAGTAAAGGGTTGCTATGAACACTATCAGGCCCGAACATGCTGTCACTAAGACCAAGTTGAACTTGAGATTCTCCCATAGTTGGACAAAGTCTTTGATTGAAAGGGTTGATAGATGAGCTGAAGCTATGCCAAGGAGGGGTATCAGCATGAGGTACATGGCGTTTGAGATCACGTAATGGTACCCTAGCTTCACGTACTTTAGTTTCACAGACAGCAGAAAATTTGGAAGTTTGTTGTTCCTTCTTTCATTTGCTGGTGAGTCATGGTTTTCATGATTCTTCTCATCTGCCATCGAGGAATTAACGCTAGTATATGCTGTTTCTGTACTTTGATCTTATTGAGTTGTAAACAATGGGAAAACTTTATATGGTACAAAGAAGAGTGTGTGTGTGTATGTGTTTTTGATACGTGAATGGGTTGCAAAATATTGGAACATGGCATGGTTTTAAAGGGTGTAAGTGGGAAGAGAGGGATGGGTAGTGGATACAACTACCCCAACGAAATTTTAATTGTGAACATGTATTGGCATTCAATTCGCCAACGCGCGTCTTTTATTTATTTATTTATTATTTTATGCACAAGAATTTATTAGTTGATGAGATTCATTGTTATTCACATCTTAATTCGATTAGTCATCATATAATATAACATATAATATTACTTTATTGCTAATATAACATTATGTTGTGGACAAGTAAAATAGTTGATCATACAATATTAATCGATCATTCAATTGCTTATTACACTTCATAAATTATTTATTTGACATATTATGTCATGTCACTAAATAAACGAATAACAAATAAAATTTAGAAAAATATTGAAATTTGTATAACAAAATGTATAATTTTAAAAATTACAAAAGAAACATTATAAATTACAAAATATGACTGCTTAAAGAAATAAGTGAACTCAGCATTTATGTTTTTATTAATTAATTATTTATTACAAGTATTTGATATTGATCAATGATTAAATTAGCAAAGCAAATAGACGGATGTGAGATTGGTGAGACTACCGTTTCTCGGGTCAAAACCGTATGTTGTTGGTATTGGTGAACTATAAACAGGATGTATGTGTGTGAAGCTTGGTTTTGGTCATTTTTTTTTATACATAACTTTTGTCGTTTCCCTTTACACTTTTGTAAGTGAAGCCTCCCTTCTAATTAGAGATTTATATGCACCCTTTCCTTTTTTAGCATCTCCACAAGAGTTTAGATATTGACTTATATAAATAAGTTTGTATTAAAGTTAAATACATTAATAATGTAATTAAAAAGAATTATACTATCATCGATTTTTTCATGTATAGTATAAGATTAATATATATTTTTTTTATAACTACTTTACATATTCTACATATATACAATAGATTTATAATAATTAATATTGTAAACATTTTACAGTTCAAAACATAAAACTATTTACGCTCATTTAAGTTTTGTGTTTGTTTTAATGGAGAAAATATACTTTTTTATATTATAACATATAATTATAAAATGTTTAGCAAACTTATGTTATCAATGCTTATATGGATCGATATAATGCACGCTACACTTGAAATAAAACAAGTTTTATTTCATAAAATAAGTTTCTAAAGACGGCTTATCTCTCAAAATATAAAAAATGCTTTATAACATTCTTTTGTTCCCATATTTATATAAAAGTAATGTTGATGTGTGTAACCGATACAATTTTTTTTACATGCTCTCTTATTAGTTAATTAAAATTTATCAAAAACTACAAAAAAGAAAAGTTAGATTATACATTTTATTTAATAAGTCATACTCATAAATTTTTTAGTTTTCAATAAATTTTAACTTAAAAAAAATTAGAGAGGTGAGTTATTACTTATTATCATTCCCCACTAATAATCAAACAAATTTTATAAAGTAACCACCCTAAATATATACCACATAATATTAGGATTTTATACCATTGCGAATAATTTTTCGTTAATTATTTTAAGATTTACATATTTAATATGTCTTCGACATTTAAAACGCTGTTTTAAAAGTAAATCATAAAAAAATGATTTTTTTTTTATTTCATATGCTTTTCTCAATATTTCCTAATTTCTACATCATGCGTCCCGAGTATTTATTGGTTAAAATTATATCCAAACTGATCGGTAAGGTGTCAGTCATATATAAAATTAAAGACAGTAGAAATAGGTATATAGTCATTATTAAGCATTGATCACCTTCATCGATGAGCTAAAATAATTTTAATATACTCCAATATAATATAATGAAATTTACAATTTTTTTTCTTAATTACAAAACTATCTTATCATCATAGTTGTGACATTATTTTTATTTATTAGATTCGAACTTATACTAATTAATTTTTTTTTTGCAGTAATTTACGTAACTAACTAAGCTATACCTTTTGATTTGTGACATTTTTTTTTAAAAAATATTAAATAAAATCACATTAAATTTTAATTAATTATTTGAAATATGAAGAAAAAATAACACTTCAAACCATTCACGTGTATAACAACACAACTAAATAACACTTCAAACACGCGGCGGGAGAAAATCCCCTTAAAGGATTATATGTTCCAAGATTTATAAATATATATGCATAACCAGCAACTAAAAACAGTAACCTAAGCTAGTCCTACAAGTATACTACAAAATCCAAGAGATCATCCATCTTTGGCCCCTAACCCTCCACATATAGCCACCAACATGTCCATATCACTCTCCTCGAGCTATATCTAGTTTGTTCCCTTATCAAAAATATAATTATTATCTTCAACACAAAACAACATCAAGATAAGTTTGATATAAAAACATAAACATATAAATAACATGGTAATGTGTACAACAAAAGAATAACTCATATAACTTCAAGCCTCTAAGCTCACAACATTAAAACAACAATCTCACAAATGAAATCCATTAACAACCATAACACATCACAACACTCTACATCTCATGTTGCATACCTCACAACTACGTGTCAATTCACACCATGTGTCATTGCGTATGAACAACAATCAAGTTCTCCTAAAACGAGTGAATTACTCAACTTAACACTAAACAATAACAACTTTAGTCACTCAGGTATTGTTGCATAAACCCAAAAGGTATAATATCATTAGTCAAGTATATAACAACTTGGATGTAGGCCTATCACACAACATTGGTTTGCAAAAACCAACCCCTCAATGGATTTTGCCCATTTTTTACCTTGAAGACATTGCATGCACCCTTCCAACACTAGTTTGTGTTGCTCCCTAGTGGCCACTCTCGACTGATGTGCCAACTTAGCATCTAGATTCCTAGAACCTAAACATGACCATTCAACTTCAAGTATAAAGCAACTCACTTCATACCATTTTCACAATATTGTTTAAAGGAAAACACAACATTTTCAAGAAAACATGTCCACAACATGGACTGTGAAGTACTAGGTTCCTAAAGAACCAATCACCCGGTATCTCCCATTGAACAACTTAGTAAAACAACACAACACATCATTCTCCTATAGACCACCTTAAAGACTTTTAAAAAAATAACATGAATGAAGAGGATTAGGTCTTCCCAACATATGCACTCACAACATCATGTATTAGGGACCTAAGTCTTCCCTACATTCACTCTAAATAAGATGCAAAAAGCATAACCAACTCATCACAACAACAACTACAATAGGCTTGTTCCCACAACAACATACATATTATCCGCAACATAGATAAAATAAGGTAAAACAACCATATTCCTTACACTCATAGGGCCCAAACCAAAAACCTCATATTCTCAATCTTGTGAGTAGTTTGGAATTCATCACTCATTCTCAATTGGAGCAAGCACAACATATTCCACTCATGAACATCACAACACTCATCTTCCTAGCCCCCAAAGCCATAGGAACACAATATATCAACACCAAAATCATTATTTGGAAAAATAGGGCTTTCATTAAGCGAGCCCCTTTTGCTCAACGAGAAACTACACAATAAGGGACATTTGTTTAGTGAGCTCCACTTGTTGAGCAACCTTCTTCACCCCACCAAGCTAAGGGCCAACACTCGCGTAATTGTCACCTTTGGTTAAGTGAGCCACTAGAACATTCCCAACATAAGGTCACCATTTCGTTGAGCGAAACACAAAGGTCACATGAGAATGAGCTAATATTAGATATTAGACCTATTAACGAGAATGACATTATTATGTCTTATGTTCAATTAAAAGCATATGGATGAAGTGATTGATTATCCTATGATAATTATGGTTGCAAAAAAGTTGAAATCAGATCATCAATTTATTCTTTTTTAATTTAGTAGCAATGATGTGTTGAGCTTTCCGTTGAAGTACTTTTGTTATAATTGTAAATCAGTTTCATTCAATCAACGGTCTCAAACACGACAAGTATACCGACCGTTCAAGTAGTAAAAATATCGTATCCACAGGGATTAGAAGGTAATATAAGCATTTATTGACTATTCGTGACTAAAGAATAATTCAAATTTCATAGTTTGTACAGTGAATTCAAAGTTGTGACTATTGGAATGAAAGTTGTAAATAAATATTGTTTTGTGAGTGGAAAAGGTAAGGAATGGTATTGTGGTATTGTGAGGTTGTGGGGGTCAGATTTCACCAAACGTAACACTAATGTATCCTTAATCTCTTGTTGAATTCATTGCTTAGTCAACCTATAAGTTTACTCAAACCTAATCCCTTAGAGAAAGAGCCTAGGTGCGGATATTGAATATCAATCCCTTGAGTACCCAATATCTACACCCGCATTACGGGCTAGGGTTTAAGACTACTAATGGGTCAAGCTCTATCCCTAGATACAATCACCACTAGGCATATGTTTCAGAACTAGTTTCAAAGGTTATTTTCCAATACCCATGGAACCTTAAATCATGCAAAGGGTGATCAATCCAAAGCAAGCATTAAGAATAGAAACAAACACAACAAAGAATAAAACAACATGTATATATATCATTAAAACCGTAAAGATTACAATAGAGTACGTTGGTTACATCTAACCCCACAAAAATTGGGTGAAACCACTCACAACAATGAGGGCAAATACAAAATAGAGATGGAAGAGGAAGTGAAGAACCGAAGGAAAGATCCGCACAAGGACGATTCCAAGCCCTGGGAATCCCTTCCGCAGCTCCTAGAGGCGCCCAATGTGAGAATGGGGGTTTCTCCCCTAAAAATGGCTTCAAATACGGGCCAGCGAGATCAGATTAGGTTTTCGCGCCCGGCGTGTAAGTCTTCTCGCCCGGCGCGTACTCTTCTGTGCACTTTCTGCCTCAGTGTAAGCCCGGCGCAATTTCCTTTTACGCCCGGCGCGATGTCTTCCAGAGAGTTTCAAGCACTCTCTGTCTTGACCACGCCCGGCGCGTGTATTCTCTCGCCCGGCGCCATGGCTTCCAGGCTCTGTTCTTACCAAGCCCGGTGCGAGTCATCTTGCGCC